GCTGCAGGTCCTCCACTCCAGGCATGAAGCACTCACTCTTCACCGGTGTGCCCAGTCCAGAGTTCCTGGACATGTGGGCATTGTGCATGTTGCCTGCCCCACTGGTGGTCCCATGGGTGCAGGTTCTCTGGTGCTCTATGACCACCTGCAGGACCACGGAGTGGAACCCTTTGTGGCTATAATGGGGTCGGTCTCCATGGAATGGGTAGGTCACCAGGAGGTGGGCCCTGTCCAGGGCCATAATACACTGGGGGAACCCCAGTGCATAAAAACCTGCAACCACCACCTGGGGGTTGCAGACACGGAGGGTAGTGTCCACCAGCACATCCTGGAGGGCACTGCACATCTCCAGAATGGCCTCCTTAGTGATGACCTTGCCGAACAAGCATCCTACATACCGCAGGCTGGTGGGTGTGGCCAGCTGGAATAGCACCAGGGCCAGGTGGGTGTCGGTAGGGAGGGCTGGGAGCATGCCAGCATCCTGGTGCTCCAGGTGGGGCTGGAGCTGGTGGAGCAGGTTGGCAAAGGTGGCCTGGGTCATATCCTAAAGGTGTCAAGCCACTGCTCATCATCCCCATCCTGTTGCACCAGATGCTGCCACCAGTTCCAGATGGCGGGGCAGGGCCAGAGCTGGCAGGGCTGGAGGCCCAGGAGGGTGATGGTGGCCCTGGTGGTGGCCTCCTGGAGCCCATCATCAGCATTGCTGGCAGCAGCAGCTACACAGTGGCAGGGGCCCATGGAGGGCATGTGGCAGTCAGCTAGGCAGTCACTGCATGTTGGGGAGCCAGGTGAGGTGAGACAGCCATGGGCCAGATGATGGTGATTGTGGTGGGCCAGCAGGAAAACCGAGGCAGCCAGCAGGATTGGGAGACCCTGTTCCTCACTGGCAGGTCCAGGGGCTATGGAAGCAATAGCTCAGAAATACGGAGGGGGCACAAACAGAGCTGCCACATGCTGCCCCTGTGTGTGCCACACTACTTGTCTGAGCACAGGTACTGGCTGCCCAGAGAGCAGAGTACAAGGCTATGTTTTAAAGATGGCTTCCAAGTGCTAGCATCTCTGTCCGGCTCAAACATGGCTGCTAAGTGCTGGCAGTTGGGGCCAGAGGCTGGTGCTCCCCCTGGTGGCCACAGGGGTACATGGCAGGGCTGGAGGGAACTGGCACAAAATGTAGTGCCAGGTCCCTGTACATGTAGATACTTACTCAAATTCACTTACTGCTCATTAGCATAATATGCAGTAAATCTGGTTGGGACTAAATGCACATGTAGATGTGCCCTGTATTACTGTAGTGGCTATCCAGCTATGTCAGCAGCTACTTTGCATTCATTCAACATCCCAAATCTATCAATTCTTGAATGATAATTTAAAAAAATCATGATCCAGACTCAAGTTTGAAATGATAAATTATTGGAGAACTACCTTAAAAGGATCATATTGCAGGAAAATCCTCTTTCCTGTACATTGTGGCTATTACAGATATCACCATATTTTCATAACAGTGACTACTTGCCCAGTGGTAAGGAGGAAGAAATTTCCCTCTTAGTTATTATGTAATAAACATTAAACTGCCCATTCTCCCTGAGGGCCTTGCTCTCATGGTGAACAGTTTATGTAGTTTGTAGAACACTTCAGCATGAAAGGCACTACACACAGAATAAAAAATATGTTGTTATTATTGCATTTTCCCTTCAGTAACTCTACTGAAGTGCAGTGCTCCATTTAGGTGAGGCATTAATCTGTATACAGTCTGCTGCTAACACAAAGTCTAGGGAAGTGATAGATAACTAAGAGGTCAATTTACTGATATGGAGTATTTTGGGTTGCAACAAATTTGTGTTTTGATATAATCAAATGAAAACTTTACATCTAGGGTCAAAGCATATAGGTCTGGATGCAATGTCCGGTAGCATACCACATCCAGTTATGGCACATACAATTCAAGAAGGGTATTGATAGATTTGAAAGAGTCAAGGGAAGATTCACAAATATAATTAAAGACTTGAAAAACACATTTTATGGTGGCAAGCTCCAGGAGTGCAATCTATTTTAACTCATCGTCCTTTCTGGTCTTATAAATTATGAAAACTTTAATTGCCTATTTGAAATAATAGTTTTACCATAATTTTCATAATTTTGTCTATGCTTTATAACCTCATGTACACCTCAATTACCCAAAACTTCTTATTATACTAAATAGGGTCATGTGCCAATTTAACTACTCATTACACTGAAAATTCCCTTCATCACCTAAGATAACAATTATTTGGATACATACAATCCCTCTCCTCACTCCTACAGTGGTATTCACATGAGACTTAGTTATTTTTATAGGGCAATTCAAAAACTAAAGTGAACCTGAAATACACAGCATTGGAGAATTGGCTTGTAATATAAAGTACTTTTGAAAATATGTGAAATTTAGATGTAAAATAAGTAAAGTTGTTCTTTACAAGAAATGCCATGTTTTTTACTGTTGTTAGACAGCATGAAAGGCTATGAAAACTAGAGCATTAAAAAATCATTACATTTCTACAGAAGCAGCTCCAAGGGTAAAAAAAACCCCCAAACAAACAAAAAATACAGCCAGTCATAGTCATGCAACAAGAGATGTCTCATTAACACAAAGTCGGGTCACATCCTGTAACTAGAAAATCCATTTTATGGAGAGAAAAACAACAACATTGAAATAAGAATGAAGCCACAGTAATGGAAAATGAGAGTAACATAAACATCCAAGGCACAAGTACAATGTTTTTTATCCAGTATCAATCATTACTTTGGCAAGATAGCTCCCAAAAAGAGAACACACATCAGTAATACAATATGAGATAAATGGTGTTTGTAATACCTCATCAAGCTGGGAGTTAACACTATAGTAATACATCAATACAACATTATTACCTCTAAGGCATACCCGCTTGTCATATAGTAGAGTCTGCTATGAATTAAGCATCTCAATAACGTAATCCAGTGACAAAAAGTCACTACAGTAGGCATTGCCAATTGTGTCACATAAGAGCAACAAGAATTACATCATGCTAAAGAACGGGCTAAGTGTCTGATAACACAGGGCATGTCTACACGTGTGCTTTTATGTGCATTAGCCTATTTAATGCATATTAAAGCATCACTACGAATGTGCTCTTTAGTTAATGTGCATTAAAATAGGCTAATGTGCATTTTCCTAGTACCTCACAATTGAGGGCATTTGTACACGTTTGCACTGCAGCGCCAGGCACATTTAAAAGTGTCCAGTGCTACGGCACATACATTTGTATAAATGGTGAAATGCGCATCAGTGCTGAGAAAATGGTGGTGGCATGCTTTTGAACTAAAATGCATCAAAGGTGTTTTAGTTCAAAAGCACACCACCACCATTTTCTCAGAGCTCATGTGCATTTTGCCATTTATACAAACACATGTGATGCAGCGCTGGGATCATCAGCTTGCATGCTCTGCAGACTTGATTAATTAAGTCTGCTCCAACAGGCTGGATTTCCTGCATGTCGGAGCAGACAAATGTATGTGTATAAATGCTTGGAGGTACTAGATTTAATGTGCATTAACTAAAGTGTATTAATGAACATGTAGATGCGCCCACAGTGTCTGCATCTAGTCTAGAACTGAACTGTCTTAGCCATGTGGGATCTTTATTTTCCTCAGTTTAACTTAATAGTCTAAGAGAAGTGTCCTCAGCACTTTAAAAAACACATAAGGCAACAGGTATGTGCCTGGGAATCTTATTATAATCTAATTAAGGCAGAGATATTAAAGCATTAATGATTAAATGGGGTCAAGACAGAGCTAGACTTAATGGATGGAAGGATGAAATCAAGAAAGGGTTGGGGAGAACAGGGTTTTAAAGAATGGTATGAAGGAGGTCACTTAGGGGACAGGAAGTTAACAGCCCTATTGACTACCCCTTTCTGACCTTTGAAGAACACAACCCTTATGATAACAAGGCAATCCAAAGTAGAAGCATGAAAAGTTTTGTGTTCCTAAAAATAAAGAAAGCCACCATACAAACATAAATAGGACAAAAATAAAGAAAGTAAGCTACCATGAGAAAATTACTTTTTTTTGTGTAAGAAGGATCCTACTCTGTGTGAGATGTTAAGCACCCTATCTGTAATTGTCTTCAGGCCTTGTTACATAGTAATTTTAGGCAGCTTCTGGAACTCTTAACCCCTGGACTGGCTGCATGTTAGCACCTTTTAAATGGCTTAAAACACTTGTTATTCAGCTTACCATTTCACTACTCCAAGGTAGGATTAATCTGCCTAATTTTGTCCTGTTCCATTAACTTGTGGTCACTCTCCACAGCTTTTCCATCCAAGTTGAAGTTCTCCAGCATCCCAAAATGCAGTGTGCAAGTGGGGAAACTGGAGCACAGGAGGGCCAGGCACAGTGCTTTGAATCTCAGAGATTCATAGGTTCATAGATTGTAAGGCCGGAAGGGACCTCGGAAGATCATTGGATCCAGCCCCCTGCACCAAGCAGGAAAGATAACTGGGGGTCAGGTGACCCCAGCAAGATGACTGTCTAGTCTCCTCTTAAAGATTTCCAGGGTAAGTGATTGCACCACCTCTGGAGGGAGCTTATTCCACAGTCTGGACACCCTGACTGTGAAGAAGTTTTTCCTAATGTTGAGCCTGAATTGATTTTCCAGGAATTTGTGGCCATTACTTCTAGTTTTCCCCTTGGGTGCCCTGGTGAACAATTGCTCACTGAGCCCTTAATGTCCTTTCCTAGTGAAGTGGTAAGCTGCTACCAGATCCCCTCTCGGCCTTCTTTTCCTCAGGCTGAAGAGTCCCTGATCCCTCAGCCTTTCCTCATATGGCTTGCCTTTTAAGACTCTGATCATATGGTTGGTTCTTCTTTGGACTCTCTCAAACTTGTCCATGTCCTTGTTAAAGTGCCCAGAACTGGATGCAGTACTCCAGCTGCAGTCTCACCAGTGCTGAGTACAGTGGAAGAATCACCTTCTTGGTTTTGCTGGAGATGTATCGATTGATGCATGTGCCCCTTCCCCCTCCACCCAGCAGGTAAGTCTGTGGGGAGTGAAGGGGGAACAGTTTGAGGCAGAGGGAGAAAAAATTATTTGGGGGTGCGGCCTCCCAGCAGATAAGTCTGTGGAGGAAGGGGCAGAGGGAGGGGAAAGGGCCGTGGGGGGGAGGTGGGGCAGATCAAGGCCCTAGCCCTAGCCACACTCCCTCTCTCACTGCTAGGGTCTCTATCTGCCCCCCTCCCCCAGCGGTGAGGGAGAGAGTTAGGCTGCAGCAGGGACAGGTGCTGCAGCTGGGGCAGGGCAGGGTGGGACAGAGCCACAAGTGGTTCATCTGCGGGCTGTAGGGAGTGTGGGAAAGCACTCCAGGAGGGCATGGGGGGGGCACATACCCCTGGATCTGCACATGAGCCAGGATGGGCTGCAGGTGCAAGCTGGGGCTGGACTCTTCCCAGTGTGGGGGCTGGGCCACCAAGAACAGCCCGGTCCATGGTAGTGGCAGCAGCACTGGGAGCAGGGGTTTAGGGGAGGTGTAGCCCCCCGCAAACCTTCTTCCTAGCCCAAGCACAGTGCAGCCTCCCAGCCCACAGTGGAAGCCACCCCACCCCATGCAGGTCCCGGGCACATGGCACCCTTGGCCTCAGGGGGGGGAGGGGCAGTGGGGGTGAAAGGCTGTCCCAGGGTGTTTCCAGCTGCACTATGCTTGGGGTGGGTGGTGGTAGCACTGGGATGGGGGGTTGGGGGAGCTACAGTGAATTTTTGGGTGGCTGTAGCTCCCCCACCCCAGTGGCCCTGTTCCCAGCGCTGCTGCCAAGGGCCAGACTCTTCTCGGTGGCCCAGTCCCCGCACTGGGAATAGCCCGGCCCCAGCCCATAGCTGCAGCCCACCTGGCCCTGCCCTGAATGCATATCTGCCCCACTCCACACCCCCCGGATGAGCCACTCATGGCTCCATCCTACCCCACCCCAGCTTCAGGGCCTGCCCCTGCTCCAGCCCCACACCCTCCCTCACCACTGCTACAGCCACCTACATGGCCCCATGTTTGGGGGGGCACGTGCCCCTCTGATCTGTGTGTGGGTGATTAGGTGGGTAGGGAGCTGCAGAGCAGCTGTAGGTGGGTGAGACGGCTGCTGCTGCATGCTGGGCTTTGCACCCCAGGCTTTGTGCCCCAAACCCCGGCTGCAGCAGGGTTCGGGGTGCAAAGCTCAGCACTTGGCAGCAGTTGCCTTGCCCTGCACACAGATCAGGGGGGCATGTACACCCCAGGCCTCCACTGGGGTGCATGCAGTGGTGGGAGCCCTCCCATGTGCCAAGACAAGCCATGTGGGCTCCAACTCTCCTCCAGCCTGGCACAGCCCAGCCCGGGCCCCACTCACCTGGTGGCAGGGGGCACGGAGGGGGATCATCCCACTCACCTGGTCTAGCAGCAGGGGTTGTGGCTCAGCGTAGCCATGTCCATCCTGCCGCTCTTATGTCCTGCTGCTCCCAGACTGTGTCCTGGCCGCTTCCCATGTGCATCCCCCCTTTCCTGATCACGGAGCCTCTAACAGACAATCTTAGATGATCAACCATCAGGGATGCCCCAATTGGCCAGCTGATTGGAATCAACCAGTTGGTGACCACTGCTGTAGAGGCTGCTCTGTCTGGGAGCTGCTGGCCATTGCTGGAGAGACTGGAGGGTGTTTGGGCAATGGAATACAGGTGCATGGGGTTGTGTGGCTCAATCCGTGGCCTAGCAGGGATGGTGCAGGCTCAATCCAGGTGTGCAGGGGTCACGTGGGATGCAGGGAGCCCAGGAGCAGGCAGAGGAGGGGACCCCATCCCCCTCTGCTACTCCCTATTCCTGGCTTTTCCCTGTCAGGTAGGGAGGAGAAACCCCTCTTGCTACTACCACTCCTGCTGCCACTCATGGGCAATACCTGAGCAGCCCCCTGATGTGGGAAAGGAGTTCCCCCTCACAGTGGCTTAGAGCAGCCTCCTGAGCCAGTCTAAGTGGGGGGCACTGTCTCCCCACTCCCACTAAGTGCTGAGTGGCAGTGGGGGGCACTGCCACTCACACTGGCTCTGTTCCCAGTGGGAGCAGAGTGAGCCAGTTCTGAGGAGGGAGGCAGTGCCTCCCCCCCTCAGACCAGCTGGCTCTGCTCCTGACAGAGCTAGTGTGACTGGCAGCAGGGAGACAGTGCCTCTCCTCCCTTCCCCTTTCCCCCTCCCCCCACCCCAAGCCAGCTGGCTGTGAGAGATGGTGGGAAGTACTGAGGCCTCCAGGCACTCAAGGGCTGCAAAGTTTGCTCTTCTGGACATCTCCTGGACATTCTGAACATAAAACCATCATGTTCACTGTCCAGCATATGGCAGACAAATCACATAACAGAATTGAACTCTTGGACTTCAAAAATGCAAATTTCAACAAGCTTAGGTCACTAGTATAGCAAGTGCTGCAGGACCAGGGACTGAAGGCAAAAGGTTGCACGAAGAGTGGTTGTTCCTTAAGGACACAATCCTTGAAGCACAAAGGAAGTCCATTCCCATGCAGAGAAAAGGTAACAAAAGGGCTGGGAAGCCCTCTTGTCAGGGGAAATCGCCCCTCTTAAGAAGAGGGGAAATCACAGTCCTCTTAAGAAAGTAGAAAGAGTCTTATAAACAATGGAAGTTTGGGGCGGGCCCCAACAAGGGCTATTCCATGATGGCTCGCATTTTTAGGGGATAGATAGGATGGGCTAAAGTGGTAACTGAACTTAGATTAGCAATGGGAATCAAGGACAACAAGAAGTCCTTCTTTAGGTTCATAGGGAACAGGAGGAAAACAAATTGGGTGTGGGGCCATTGCTCAACAACTCAGGATAGCTGGTTACCAGCACCCAGGAGAAAGCTGAACTACTGAATGACTACTTGTCTTGGTCTTTCACCAGACCAAGGGGAAAACCATGCCAGGTAGAGCAGAGGATGAGCATGGTAGGAATAATCACCTTCCTGCTATTGCTGTAGAATTGGTATATGACCAATTAATAAAATTAGGCATATACTAGTCAGCAGAACCAGATGATTTTCATCCAAGAGTGCTGAAGGAGCTGGCCAAAGTCACTGTGGAACCCCTGGTGAAACTTCCACAACTCATAGTGCTCTGGAGAAGTCCCTGAGGGCTAGAAGAGGGCCAAGGTTGTCCCCATTCACAAGAAGGGCAGGAGGGAGGACCTGGGTAACTATAGGCCAATCAGCCTAACTTCCATCCTAGGGAAAATCCTAGAAAAGTTTGTCAAGAAGTCTATCTGCGATAAGCTTGGAGAAGGTAAGAATCTGAATGACAGCCAGCATGGCTTCATCGCAGGCAGGTCTTGCCTTAACAGCCTCATCTCCTATGACCAGGTAACTCGCCACATGGACACTAGAGAGCAGGTTGACATTGTATACCTAAACTTCCAAAAGGCCTTTGATCTAATATCCCACGATGTCCTCGCGAGACAATTGGAGGATTATGGGCTTAACTCTGAGACAGTCAGTTGGCTGCAGCTTAGAGACCAGAGAGTCGTAGTGAACAGATCTGTGTCATCTTGGCGAGAAGTGGGCAGCGGTGTCCCGCAAGGGTCAGTGCTCAGTCCTGTACTTTTCAACATCTTTAGTAATGATTTGGATGTGGGGGTGAAGAGCTCACTGGCCAAGTTTGCGGACAACACCAAGTTGTGGGAAAGTGTGGTCACACTTGAAAATAGGCTACAGATACAGGCAGACCTAGACAGGCTAGCAAGTTGGGCGGATCATAATCTGATGGGTGGATCAGAATCTGATGAAGTTCTGATGAAGATTTTGGTTTGCTTTTAAATTCCAAAAGTGATCTACTGAAAAAGGTTGGAGACCACTGCTCTACAGCAACTTCCACGTGGCAGGGGGAACAGGAGTCAGAGGTAGGGAGGAGGTGGGTGGGTAAGGAACTGCTAGCCAGTTGCAGGGCCTGGTGGGGGCAGTACAGGCTCAATCTGGCCCACCCACCTACCCTCCTCCTGCAGTTGCCCTGCAGATCTGCAGATCCCTACCAATGTTCCGTCTAAGGAGTAGCGGTCCATGAGCTCACCACCTTGGTCTGTGAGCACTCTGCCTCAGTCCGGCATGGGACATTTATTGAAGGGGTCTGGGGGCTGGGGGCTGGAGGCTAGAGCTGGGGGCTGGAGCTGAGAGGCTGGGGGCCAGAGACTGGGGCCAAGGGCCAGAGGCTGGAGCTGGGGGCTGGAGCTGAGAGGCTGGGGGATGGAGGCTGGGGCCTGGGGTAAGCTCCTCACCCAGGACAAGCAATGGGGCCTGGGGGCTAGAGGCTGGGGTGGGCTCTGCTGGGGGGCCAGGGAGTGGAGCACTTTCCCGGAGCTGGCAGAGCCCCCCACCCCAGCCTCCATCCCTGCCTTGCCTCACCTCAGGGAGGAGCCACTGCCTGCCCTGAGTGAGGCTCTGCTGGCTCCAGGACACTGTGGGACACACCCCCTGAGGCCATGCAGGGGTGCAGAGCAGTGTCCCGGTCACTCGGGGCAGGCAGCTGCTCCTCCCCCAGGTGAGGCAAGGCAGGGATGGAGGCTGGGGTGGGGGGCTGGCGCGGGCTCTGCTGGTTCCGGGGAAGTGCTCCACTCCCCAGCCCTGATGCAGGGGAGCGAGCACTTCCCCGGAGCTGGTGGACCCCACACCAGGCTCTCGCCCCAGCCTCTCTTGGTGCGTGGACTTGAAAAGGCTGTGTGCAGCCACACTTTTAGTTGTGTTCAGCTGTGCACATGCGCACCTTAGAGGGAACCTTGCTCCTACTCACCTAATCACCCACCTACTCACTCGTCCTTCCCTTGCCACCCACCCTCTTCCCCCCACCCCCTTTTACCCCATCTCACCTGCTGCCCAGATGGCCCCAGCTGTCAGTCCAGGGTCATAGTTCTGGAGGATAGCTAGTCCATTCTGGGACCAGTGCCTCCTGAGATACAGGAGGACTGCAAAAATTGTCATTTTATCTCAGTGAAGCACCCAGAAGTTAAGGTAATTCAAGCTACTTAGCAGGTTTCAAAGATAATCTTT